CCTCTGTGTCATCTCTTTCTCCTCGTCCTCTCCCCAGCTCTCTTATCTCCCTCTCGTCGCCGCCTTTCTCTTAACGCCTCTGTTCTTTCTCTCTCTCCCTCTCTCCGTCCCTTCCTCTCTCCCTCTCTCCCTCTCTCCCTCTCTCTCGCTCTCTCGCTCTCTCGCTCTCTCGTTCTTGCTCGTCTAGTTCTCAGCCCAGCTATCTCATCAGCTGGTGTCGGCAATGATTTGCTTGTCCATTTCATCTTTAGCGCATTGGGAAAATTTGCGACCACTGTCCTTCAGGACATCAGTTAAAATTGGAACGATACAGAGAAGATTAGCATGGCCCCTGCGCTTTCAAGGATGACACGCATAAATCGAGGAGGAGAAAAAAATGCATCCACTGTTCGTTGACCGTTTCTGACGATTCTGATCGGTGGTCCATCGGGAAAAGAAAAAAAAAATTCAAAAAAGAGGAAAAAAAAAAAGAAAAAAAAGAGGACCAAAATAAAAGGAAACCACGCGGGAGTCACAAAACCGAGTTATGATTGCAGTATGGGCCAAGATACAGTTTGCAATTGCAGTTCAGGCAATGTATACAATCCAGCTTTCTGGCCAGGTGTAGGGTGCCTGAACTGCAATTGCAAACTTGTAGGGTATGGGCCAAGATACAGTTTGCAATTGCAGTTCGGGCACCCTACCTGGCCAGAAAGCTGGGTTGTATACATTGCCCGAACTGCAATTGCAAACTGTATCTTGGCCCATACTGCAATTAGAACTCGTTTTTGTGACTCCCGCGTGGTTTCCTTTTATTTTGGTCCTCTTTTTTTTTTTTTTCCCTCTTTTTTGAAGTTTTTTTTTCTTTTCCCGATGGACCACCGATCAGAATCGTCAGATATTAAACTGATTAGAAGAGATCGAATGACCATTTAGGGCACTGCCACGTGGAATGGCCTATATATCGAATGATGTGCTTAAAAAATAAAAATAAAAAAAATAATGATGTGCTTGGCATGCCATTTGCATTCATTGAATCGTCCCAACTTGACAGGTTTAGTGAGAAGGAATTTTTGATTTTTGGACTTAATTTGCGGAACTCATTTTTGTTAATCAATCTGAAAACAAAGGATCCGCTTAGCCGCGTGCGCGGTTCCGCTGCCACGTGGCAGTTTCTGATACTGTGTGAAACCGAGGACCGAAACCGGATATGCTATTGACGACGACGGTCCTAGGTTGGTGGATTGTTTTTTTTTTTTGGTTTCTTTTGGTTGAGGTTTAGTGCCGGTATATGATGGGATTTTTTGATTCGTTCGGACTTCAACTGTATCCTTGCTCCCTTTATTATTCCTTAATTAATTAATTAATTAGCTAGGCTACCAGCCGGGCCGCCCGGGTCAGCTTGTTGTTTGCCCGGGCGGCCCGGCCGTGAAAGGGCCAAAGTAGGTCCCAGCACGAAAAAAAAAAAAATCGAAAAAATCCGGAAGAAAGCTATGTCGTGCAGAAACATAAACTGATAAACTTTTGCCTCAGGGTCACATCGAAATTCTTTACCAAATAAATAAATAAATGATGCGGCTAGCGTTGGGGAAAATTCCTCCACAAGGAAATCCCATAGATGAAAAAATCAAATGTGCTTGGGTGCCTCGGACGAGGAATATGGTTATGTAGAGAAAATAGTTAGATTGTGGAATTGATATGTTGTAGGTGATTGTCAGTTTATGGTTGGTGAAAACTAGGGTTGGACACCTGACTTTTGCAGCTACGGGCAACGAGGTTTCCGGAATTGCAGGTAGCAATGAGAACAGGTTTATGTTGGCTTGTTGATTTGTTGGCCTATAGAAACAAGCTGTTGTTATCGATGTCTTTGATTGAGAGTTAGCATCATCTCATGGCTAGAACAAGCAACACGTGGTACTCCAAGAAATTCTCAAAAAGAAATTCTCGAAGACAACAACAAGTATTACACGAATTCCAACACAGACAATGATACTTAGATAGCAAAAGCTACCATGATTGCAGTGCGCGGGCCGGTGATGGTGACCCCGACCGGTTTCGACCGCCACATGATTGATCGAACCTGCCGTGTA